ATTATATATTTATATATAATTGAAGTATAATTGATGTACAGTGTATATTAGTTGCTGGTACAGTGTTACTTAGTTTCAGGTTTCATATATTTCATATGAAATATAATGATTCAATAATTCTATACATTATTACATTATTCAGTGCTCATCATGATAAGTGTATCTTAATCCCCTTTACCTATTTCCCCTCAGTCACTTCCCCCCAGCCACTCATCCCCTCTGGTAACCTCCAGCTTGTTCTCTGTGTTTAAGAGTTTTGTTGTTTTTTTTCCTCTCTTTTTTCTTTTTTGTTTCTTAAATTCCACATATGAGCGAACTAACATGGCATTTGTCTTTCTCTGACTTACTTATTTCACTTAACCTTATACCCTCAAGATCCATCCCTGTTGTTGCAAATGGCACAATCTCATTCATTTTTGTGACTGAGTAATGTTCCATAGTATATATACACCTCATCTTTTTTATCCATTCATCTATTGATGGATACTTGGGGTGCTTCTATATCTTGGCTGTTGTAAATAATGCTGCAATAAACATATTATTGAATAATAATAAACATATATTCAATTAGTGTTTTCATTTTTGGGGGGTAAATATCCAGTAGGGAATTACTGGATCATATGGTAACTTTGTCTCTAATTTTTTGAGGAGCCTCCATATGCCCAACTTTTGAAAGCTGTCTGTGCCCTGCTTCTTCCGGCCTGCTGTGGGAATAGTGTGGCATCCCATTGTTACCACCCTCAGGGTACTTCATATCCCTAACGGCTTCCCCATACTTTGCCAAATTTTGGTAAACAGTCCCATCAAACTAACCAATAGTGTTGGCAACTTTTTTCCCCAGGGAAACCCTGACTGTTAGAGGTCTTTCCCTCTACCTCCAAGTTCTAAATATAACTAGTTTCAGGTATTGAGAAAATATATGATGTAATCCATTCTAAAGTGTGAATGCCTAATAGCATAATTCCTCTAGCATGTTTTATTTGAAACAGAGTTGTGTAGACAAAATTAAGAGAATTTCAAACTGATTGATTGAGATATTTTTTTTCTGGAGCCCTCTAAATGAAAGGCACCTCTCCTGAGGATAAAACTGGCATCAGATAAAGGCATTTCTTAAACTTTTTAATAAATGTGGCCTGGCCGAAGGGAGGGGGCTGCATACCCCTGGGAGTCTAGGATGCCAGTAACCCTAAGTAACCTTAAGCAAGCATTGCATTTATTAAAAGGGTTGCTTATTTAAATAACATATGAGTTCTTCTTTCTATCCTATAATGTATCTCTATTTATCATATTATTTCCAAAATTTAATAAAGATGAATTTCTAGAAAGATGCACATGTTTATCATTTTGCTTTATTACTAGCAGGCAGCCCAGCGCTTCTGGGGACGCATAGCCCCAGTTTGAGAAGCCTGATGTGGGGAGAAACTGGATACACTGATAACGTTACCACTTGATTGTTAGGGGTTTGTCACTTTTTTCCAGATTTTTTCCAGGTCATTCCAGATGTTTATATACTTTTGGATCCTAGGGAGGTTCTAAGATTTGTGATAAACATTTCTTTCTCTTTTCTTTTCTTTCTTTTTTTTTTAGCATCTCTATTTTAGACACAGGTATACTATATTTCATTTCTTTTCCAATTTGGCACATCTATTTGACTTTCCTTCTTCTTTTAAATTGTTTACTTATGGATTACATTACTTTGATGTAAATTGCTTTTGTTTTTTAATATGTCCTAAATCACAGTATTTTTTTCCGGTCAATCATTGTAATGTTTCTGATGCATTAAAACACGCTTTATGAGACTACATCCTCTGATTGACAGGCACCATGGGTTTTTCCTCAAGTAATTTCCTTTTTTTTTAAATTTTTTTAATTTTTATTTTTGAGAGAGAGAGAGAGAGAGAGAGAGAGAGAGAGAGAGAGAGAGAATGGGGGAGGGGCAGGGAGAGAGGGGGACAGAAGATCCGAAGTAGGCTCTGTGCTGACAGTAGTGAGCCGAGATAGGGCTTGAACTCACAAATTGTGAGATTATGACCTGAGCCAAAGTCAGACGCTCAACCAACTGAGCCACCCAGGTGCCCCACAAGTAATTTCCTTTTAATTTATTCTGAGAAGTATATCATGAAAGGTTTTAACCACTTTTCCTTATTGTCAGAAATAGTTAAAATCCTGAAACTTTTTTTTTTAATCCTGAAACTTATTTAAGATTGAACTTTAAGGATGCCTTGGGGGCTCAGTTGGTTAAGTATCTGAGTCTTGATTTTGGCTTAAGTCATGATCTCACAATTCATGAGTTTGAGCCCTGGGTTGGGCTCTGTGCTAATAGTGTGGAGCCTGCTTAGGATTCTCTCTCTCCTTCTTTCTCTGCCCCTTCCCTGCTCATGTGCACTAATGCATGCGCTCCCCCCCACCCCGCACTTGCTCTCTCTCAAAAATAAATAAATAGACTTTAAAAAATAATGAATTTTAAAATAAGTTACTAGCTATTATAATTTTAAAATGTTTATCTTAAAAAAACAATTTTTGTATTAATTTTCTAGGGCTGCCATAACAAAGTGGCACAGACTATGTGGCTTAAACAAGAGGGATTTATTTTCTCATAGTTCTGAGGCTAGAAGTTGGAGATCAAGGTTGTCAGGATTATTTTCTTCTGAGGTCTCTCTCCTTGGTTTATAGGTGGCCATCTATGTGTTCCTGTTCCCTGTGTCCTCACTTGGTCTTCCCTTTGTGCTTGTCTGTGTCCAAACTTCCTCCTCCTCCTCTTCTTCTTTTTTTTATGTTTATTTATTTATTTTGAGAGAGAGAGCATGAGCAAGGGAGGGGTGGAGAGAGAGGAAGACAGAGAATCCCAAGCAGGCTTTGTGCTCTCAGCACAGAGCCCAATGGCGGGGATTGGACCCACGAAATTGTGAAATCATGACCTGCGCCAAAACTCAGTTTTTTTCCCATCGAAACGTGGATAACAGCATTCATTTTATCATGGAGTATGGAACATAGCACAATATCCCGCCCAAGTAAGCAATGTATAGGAACTGTAATATACATATAGGATCAATATGTAGGAACTGTAATTCCTATTGTGTGTTAGCTGCTGTTGGATACATGTTCATGTCAGTTTAGAGACCAAAGAGCTGAACTCAGGTTGAGTAACATCCCCGCTATCTCACAGCCAGTCAATGGCCTGGCCAAATTTTAAGTAGGTTTGTCTGCCTCCAGGATCTCACGCTAATTGTGTAACAAAAGGTCTGGGATGGATCTGGGTTTACATTGTCTCCACTGCTGATCAGCCATGTGGCTCTGGCCGAATTACCTAGTCTCTCTCTCAACCCTTTGCTTCCTCTATGAAATGGGGATAGTGATATCCGCCTGCTTCTATTTTTGTTTTTGTTTTTGTTTTTTTTAAATTGAAGTATAGTTGACGCATAATGTTGCATTAGTTTTGGGTGTAAAGATGTCTACCTTTTAGAGCTGTGAGGAACAAGACCATATATTTCAAGCTGCTGTACAAAGTAAAACCGTCACTGTCCCATGTCATTCCTCATTGACTTTGCCACCCTCTGCAGGTGAAGCTTTAGGAAAATCACTTTCCTTGGAAAGTTCCTTGAAACTTCCCTTGAAAGAAGTTCCTTCATCTTCGAGATTGGGGTAGGGGTGGCAGGACAGGAATTGGCCTAAATCAAGAGATCTCAAACTAAGAGGCTCATACAGGCCAGGCAGGTAACTGAGGGCCTAGAACCCAATATGGCAAATGGCAAATATCTAGAATGCAGAAATCTGGATCTTTCATCTGAAACATGTCAAGTTTAGAATAGTTTTGGGATCGAACTCTGAAAACTGAAATATATATGTGTGTGTGTGTGTGTAATATATATGTGTGTGTAAAGCCCACATACACACACATATATATGTAGGCTTTATCATCAGCCTGGTTTGGCCATAGGTTTGTAAATTTTTGGCTACACAGTTCCCAAGATCCCTCCAATCTGGTGTCACGGATCCCATGTCATAAAACAACAGCGGTCTAATTCCTGGTCCTTACTTATTGGAACCCAAGGTCATGGTTTTGCCCGTACTATCCTAGTTGCTTTGGGAGTGGTCTTTCTACCTACAGTCTCTTTCCCACTCCAGTCCCACCCACCACTTCCTGAGAAATTCATCTTCATAAAGTTCTGCTTAATCCTGTCACTGCTTTGCTTAGAAACCTTCAATGACTTTATGTGGTCTATGGAATAGAGGCTATCCTTCTTAGTTGGCAGTGACCAGCTTTCCTTTCTTACTTCCTATTTATCCCCCTCATGTGTTCTGGATTCCACAACAATACCACCAGTGCCCAAAAGTGTTCTTTCTTTCTTTTTTAATATTTATTTTTTTTTGAGAGAGAGAGAGCGTGAGCGAGTGCGAGTGGGGGAGGAGCAGAGAGAGAGGGAGACACAGAATCTGAAGCGTGCTCCAGGCTCAGAGCTGTTGGCACAGAGCCTGACACAGGGCTCGAACCCATGAACTGTGAGATCATGACCTGAGGTAAAGTCCAGCACTTAACCAACTGAGCCACCCAGGTGCTCCAAAAGTGTCCCTTTTTTAATCTCCCTCTTCAAGGGCTGCTCTGTCTCAGAGGCCAGTGCACGCACACATGTGCAAATTCTGCTTATGCTTCAGGGTTCAAAGCAGACCCTTCATCGTGCATGCAGTGTTTCCCTCCTGGGCCTTGCACTTAGAGGAAATCAGATCTTTGTCTTCAAACTGCAGGAGACAGATAAGCTCCTGTCTTGGTGGCATATAAGGGAGCTAATTTTGTTAGGTTTTTGATAGTTTGGATTACTTTGCTTATTCTCAGTTTTGCTTTCTTGTTATGTGTGTAAAATATATTAATGAAAAGACATTTTCTAAGACTAGTAAAAATTGTCTTCAGGGTTTCAGACTTTTCTTCCCAAAGATATTTTTCTTTAGGGAAGACTGAAGAAGGATGAACATAATATGGAGAGAAAATGCATATTTTCGCTTACCTGTATTATTTCTCCTTAAAGCATATTTCAGTTTCTTCTCTGGGGCTTAAAATTCATCCTGGGTCCAAAATGAGCTAACTCTCACAATAGTTCTTTTCTGCTTGAAAAATCACATTTTTCCTCTGGTGTGAAATTTCACAAAGAAAGCCAACTGAAAGAAGGGCAAAAGATTGCCACTGTATATGATGAAGTTTTAGGGCGATGGACGGTTCATGGGATCCAGAGCCGGTGACTGAGAAAAAATTCTTGAAAATGTCTTTGGTGCAAAAAGGTGATTTTATTAAAGCATGGGGACCAGGGCCGGAAGAGCCACACTGCTATTGTTGGGGGGTGGGAGATAAAGTCTAGAGGGAGTTTCCAAAGAGACTTTCACATGCTAAACACTTACTGGAGGCCTAGCCATTGTCAAGCTAAGGTTGTTACTCGCCCCCCCCCCCCCCCCCAGCAGGGCATTACCATTAAGACAGTAGGAAGTTCCTGGACTTTAGGCTATGACGGGATTGCCTTTTTCTGGTAAACTGGTGGAGACTCTTATCAGTTTAACCTTTTTTTTTTTTTTTGTCTTTTCCTGTTTTGGGACAGCCTGGAGTGTCCAAGGAATATCATACATGTCCCACTGCGGGGGGGGGGGGGGTTTGCTGTTAGCCTGCATTTTGCCCTCAGCTTACCCCATGCTCCCTTATCATATACATGGGCATTTGTCAGGTCATTCCTCAGTTTAGGCAAACTAAACTTAGCCTCTAATAGCTCTAATTTCCTCAAAGGGAAAGATAGACAATTCATTTGTCATTTAAATCCCATTCCTTGATGGCAGGTTTTGTGATCCCCCAAATGGATTACTAAAGCCTTTAAAATCACTTCCCTGATGGCCTGAGTGGTACGTTATACTCATATTGGGTCATTTTGTCTTCATTAGTTACAATAAGACAAACGGAGCAGTTGTCAGAGTATCACAGCCAAAGGGAATGGAGCCTAGAAGTCGGCCAAAAAAAAGCCCCTGTGCACACATGCCAAAGCCAATAAAAAAATAATATAGCACTTCAACCTGGACTTTTGGAGTTTATTCGCAATCAGATAATTATCAAAAATATCACTGACGACAACAAAAAAAGGCAGAGAAGAGAGAAGGGGACTTGAGTGAGCTCTTGGAAAGCTCTTTCAGAGTGTCTTTCCAGTAAGGAAAGGAGGTTTGAGCGCTGAGCTCCTGATCATCCCACACAGCCCTTTCCATTTCTGTGTTTTTAGTTAAAGAAGTGTACCATGGGCGTTTGTGACTCAGGATCTCAGGAAGCTAGGTTCGATTTCGCCTCTCTTTTGCAAGACTGGCTGTGAGAGGAGGCCGGTTTACTCACCACAAGCGGCTGGTCAGGTATTTCTTAGCTTTACGATGGAATGCACTGGAGGTGGGGGTGGGGAGCAGTCTTCCGAGGGATGGGCTTTATGGTGTCTTGTCCGTGATGCTCATGCGCCCTCCTTCCAGAGAAGGAATGTGGGGAAGGTTGGGAGGAGTCATGAGTTGGGAATGAAACCACAGCTAGTAACTGGACAGTTGGGCAGCCCTGTAAAACCATGAGGCCTACTCATTATAGAGATCAGGCCTTGATGGGTGATTCGTTTTGTAGTTTTACTCAAAAGCAATAGCATGCTTCATCCTTTTTTTTTTTTTAATTTAAATTTATTTTTATTTATTTTGAGAGAGAGCGAGAGTGAGGGAGGGGGAGAGAGAGAGAGAGAGAGAGACTCCCAAGCAGGCTCCGCTCTGTCAGTGCAGAGCCCAAAATGGGCTCAGTTCCACAACCGTGAGTTCATGACCTGAGCCAAAATCCAACGCTTAATCGACTGAGCCACCCAGTCGCCCTGAGACATGCCTCATCTTAATCAACGATGACTTCCTAAGATGTATGTAAAGCACATTTCCAAGCAAACACAGCTAGGTAGCCAGAAGCATAGTCTTGGAATGTGGCTGGTCTGGCTTTGGATCTCCACACTTTCTATGCCTAAAGATTTAGGGTAAGTTGACGATCATTTTGAGCCTCAGCTCTCTTTTCTAAAATGGAATTGATAATCTAAACTGAGGAGTGAAGATGAAAGAATGTACATAAAGTAGGTAATCAGCCCTAATATGGTAAATAAGAGGGATCATTATTGTTGAGCTTTTCCTAAATTTGTGAGTAGGGGTGGTGGTACCGATGAGGAAAGGGTACCCACAGTTGAAAGATGAAAAAGGAAGCAAAACAAACATAAACAACCAAATACCGGATCCTAAAGGGCATGTGATGTTTTATCAGTCTGATCATAATTTCCCAGATAGGAACGAATCCTAGAGAAGTGTGCGGCCTGCATGAAAGAAAAGATGCGGATTCCCTGCCCTCTGACAACCAGAGAGGAAAAAAGGCGGTTAAGATGAATGCGGGAGACAGCAATACAGATCTGTAACAATGCCTGACGTTTGTTAGGTTCCAAGAACTTCTTGGAAGGAAGCATTTTGCCGATGTTCTGTCATTTACTGCTTACAACAACCCCGTGAGATAGATTCTGTGATTAACCCCAGCCTGAAAACTGAGGCAGAGAGGTTTAGTAAATTACCCAAGGCCATACCGGCATAAAGGGCAGAGCCAGAATGAAACTGAGGCAGTTGGGCAACAGAGCCCTCTTTTTCTCTCTTTCATCATTGAGGCATGTGTCATAGTCTAATTGGAAGCATTTTTTCCTTCTGAGTGGTGCATAAAACAATGGTGCCTTCTAGAATTGGGGCGTCATGTTGTGATGACATATGTATAAGTGACACCCATGTGCTCACCACAAAGATGAAGTAGTGTTAGTTTGCCACAGATGACAACAGACCTTCGGAAGGGGGTGGGGAAGCCAGGGAGGATGCCGCTGTCCAGGAGCCAGCCTCCCTTTTGCTAACAGCAGGACTTACATACACCACAGATTGTTTATAACCGTCAGTGCTTCAGGTCTTTCATTTATTATCATTATTTTAAAGTTCATTTATTTGTTTTGAGAGAGACAGAGAGAGCAAGAGCAGGGGAGTGGCAGAGAGAGAGAGGGGGAGAGAGGGAATCCCAAGCAGGCTCATGCTGTCAGCATACAGCCTGACGTGGGGCTCGAACTCATGAACAGTGAGATCCTGACCTGAGTGGAAACCAAGAGTCGGCCACTTATCTGACTTGAGCCACCCAGGCACCCCTCACTTACTATTTTTTATAACTTTATTTTCTTGGTAAGAACACCTTACAATGAGACCAACCCTCAACAAAATTTTAAGCGTATAATATATTATTGCTGAGTATAGATACCATGTCATACAGCAGATCTCCAGGTCTTTTATAAAATTTTTTTTTAAACATTTATTTGTTTTTGAGAGACAGAGCACGAGCAGGGGAGGGGCAGAGAGAGAGAGAGGGAGACACAGAATCTGAAGCAGGCTCCAGGCTTCGAGCTGTCAGCACAGAGCCCAACACGGGTCACGAACCCACGAACTGTGAGATCGTGACCTGAGCCAAAGTTGGACACTCAACCAACTGAGCCACCCACGCACCCCTGCAGGTCTTTTAGATAAGTGTAAAGAACTGAGAGAACGTGCTGCCATTCTACCTGCTTTGAAGGGGAGCTTCAAGAGTGTGTCACTGCAGTGAGGGTGTTGTTTTATATTATCTTGTGTTAATTATTCTTCTGTGCTCTGGGATATGATCACCTCCTTCAGGTCACCGCTGGAATATGGATCTTTCCAATCATTTAGGGGAAAAAAAATGTCCTTAGATAGGGAATGGAAACGAGAAAGGAGGAAGGAGAGAGGAATTCTAGCCTTCTCTTGGCATTGCTCTCTGGATCTCGACTTTGACAAGTTTACCGATTGTTCAAGGTCATCCCTAACATAGTTCCTAAAGAGACTTCTGCTTTAGAAAGGCGAGTTGAGAGCTAGGCAGAGGGGCCTCCAATTGTGGATGAGTGAGCCATAATTTAAAAAACCACCTATCTGCTGTATTAATCTTAGCTTAGTGTAGGACAGAGAAATCACTCTGGGCTTTTGGCAGAAAGAGACTCACTACAGAAAGATACATGCTTAGAAAATCTCTGGAAGGGCCAGACAAATGATCTCTAGATTGGATGACCAGGAATGACTCTTGGAACACTGTAGATCTTTCCTGCTAGGGAAACTGGTTTATCTGCCACAATCTGGGGGAGGAAGCAGTGGGGTTAGAAATCAAAGACCTTCCCTGGTGTATTCGCTTCAGGAGACCCAGTGCTACGACTGCCTTTCAACACCCAGAAGCTGGAGTTTGGACAAATGAATACTGAAGCAGAAAAACAATATGTCTCCCTGACCTGCTTGCTGGCATAAGACAGCCAAAAAGCTGGCCTGTGACTCATCCCACCTTCCCAAACCCACAGGAGTGCTTCATTTCTCATCCAGAACCACCTGATCAGCAAGGGAGTCTGGGGGATGTGGTTTTTTTTTTTTTTTTTTTTTTTTTTTTTTTTTTTTTTTTTTTTTTTAAAGCTTTCTAGACTCTGTCATTCAAGAAGAAACAAATGTAGGGGCTGCACATTGAATGTCAATCAAGCATATCTAACACAGTTTCATTTCATTTTATGCTTTGTATTTATTTTCCTTTTTTAGTTCAGGCCTTGACCCAACTTGTACTATAGATTATAAGGAAAGCTAATATCTGAGTCAGAATGTTAAAATTGGGTGGTGCCTGTCGGGAACTGTGTAGGGTTGAGGATGTAACCCTGCTTCCAAGCTAACAAGGGAGCCTGCTACTGTTTCATGGGTGCTAGGGAGAAGAGACTCCAGAATCAGACAAAGGACGTTGTTACTGATGGCAAAAGCAGCAGGCAGTGTCTGTATGATGTTTGTTCACTTCCCCATGCCCACTAAATCCCCCCAGGTGATGCAGCGTCCTGTACCTGCAGTGGGTTGCCTTACAGGAGAGGAGCATTGAGCTTGGGGGCTGCACCGAAGCAGAAGCAAGCCTGGTTTGTCCAGGGCAAGATGTTAGCTCATCCCTCAAGGTTGCTGGCTGCAGACACACACTGAGAAATGGCCTGGGCCTTGCCTTCTTGGCCTACCCACAAAGAATGTGCAGAGATGCTTAGGGCCCATGGCAGATCACCTCTTCTTACCTCCTTCCTCCCCCTTCCTGTCCAACTTCCTTCCTTTTCCAGGCCCAGGAGCCAGTGGTGGTAAATATGAATATCTTTCAAGGGAATGTGAATCTTTGGAGATAGATGTCTCCTGTTCACAAGGAATTTTCTCCTCATTACTAGCCTTAGATTATCTGGCTTACTTTTATTAAGGGAGGTGGCAGGTTCTAGAAGGTCCTGACTGATAGAGTCTTGTCTCCTTGTCCTCGCTGTGTCCCAGAGGTGCAGCCAAATTGCTTGGCTCCTTTAGAGGGTGACCATGCGTCCAAGTGTTCAGGGGACTGTGGCCTCTTGGGCCATGGGACTAGCAGTGCTAAAGCTCACGCAGTTGGTCAGATACTCCTTCAGCACTTGCAAACCACAGGGCTGGAGTGACTGGGTGCATTCTCTGGACCCCAGGGCCAAATCTGTTTCTCTTTTGTTTTACCCAGCTTGAAATTTCCTTCTAAGTGAGGCTGTAAATGCCAAGTCCTGTTAAGAGTTTACTTTTTAATCTTATAGTTAACAACATTGTATTGTATGTTTGAAGTTGCTAAGGGAGTAGATCTGAAAAGTTCTCATCACGAGAAAAAAATTTGTGACCATGTGTGGTGATGGATATTAACCAGACTTATCGTTGCAATTAGTTCACAATAGATACATATATCAAACACCTAAAAAGCATCATGTCAAGGATATCTCAATAAAAATAAAACTAAGTTAAAAAAAATAAAAACAATTTGAGGAAATCAGTTATATCATAAATTACTTTTTGGGGGCACCTGGGTGGCTCAGGGGGTTAAGCGTCTGACTTTGCCTCAGGTCATGATCTCACAGTTAGTGAGTTTGAGCCCCTTGTCCTGCTCTGTGCTGACAGCTCAGAGCCTGGAGCCTGCTTTGGATTCTGTGTCTCCCTGTCTCTCCCTGCTACTCCCCTACTTGTGCTTTCTCTCTCTCTCTCCCCCTCTCTCTCACAAAAACAAATAAAAACAAAACAAATTCCTTTTTGGAACTAAGAATAGAGATGTAATTTAAATATGTCACAGAGGCTAACACTCTCGATACCTCTTTAGGGTCTGTGAATAAAGCTGTGTTTCAATATTGAAAAAAAAAGTTAACTTAAACATACAATTTGTCCCCTCTGAAGCAACCAGTGTCTAATTCAGTTATAGCAACTGTGAATTATATTTTAAGCCCAGAAAATATTCTGCACCAAAATCCAGTTCTTCACGTGTCTGGGAGACTTCTGAAGTGAGCCTTTTTTCAGGAAGGAGAGAAGAGAGTGAAGAACAAGTTCCCTCTCACTTTCCTTGTTCCATTCTCCAGAGTAGCCAGATTTTAAGCCCATGGAATGCAGTAGGTGATTCCAAAGGCTACCTTCTTATTATATGAAGGCCGGGAAAGGAGCAATTTATGTGTAAGTTACACTGATTAATGACTTAGAAGAAGCATTAGCAACCTGGAAATTCGAAGAGAGTTTATCCCAATATACCTAACAAGGTACATATTCTGGTTTAGGCAGCTGTACTCACTTATATTGTGTGAAATAAGCCACGGCTGTAGCAGAATCCCATGATGTGAATCCATTTCTTTCTATGAATCTGACAATTAGGGCTGATGGAGACACGCCTGGCCTTTTCCAAGGTCACACAACTATGGAAGAGAAAGCAAAAGAAGTGTCTCTTGCTAATGTTTTCTTCTTGTTTCCGGTATGGGTAGCTAATTGGGCCTTTTTCGATTCTGTCTGTAAATCATGATCTTTCTATGAGGGGCAATAAAAAAAATCTATAGGTTCTTAGAGTTGTTGCTAGTTTAACTACAGTAATGGACCATGAATAAACACAGCATGTTCCAGGGACATGATTATTTGACTTTCAGCAGGGAAGCCGTCTGTTGGCACCTAATGCAACAGATTGAATTTGCTGGAGAAAAACTGACGTCTGGGGCTGGGGCTGAAATGAGGGAATGGGCCAAAGAGCTTAGAAGGATGTAATAGGAGGCAGATCGATTCTGTTTGGATCCAGACTAAGCTCCGAGGAGTATTTAGGTGCAAGAAGTGATGCACGCTTTTGCCTACATTACCAGCAGTAGGAGACTACAATTTGGGCCGGGGTGGAGCTGGAGTCATACTGCTTGTTTGTGGAAAAGAAACAGTGGGCTTGATGGAGATCTCAGGAGGAGGGCATAGTGGCAGGGGATGAGGAAAGGAGTATCTTTGCCCCGTTTGTTTGGTCAGTCTGGAAGCTACCAGAAGATCAGTGTTGCCTCATCATGGGCATCAAGCACACACTAACTGCTCTTTGGTGTCAGCTGGCCTATTTTGTTCTCCAAGGATTGGCTGTGAATGGTAGTTATTGGACTAAAGTAAGATAATTAACAGATGCAAGGTGCACCGAAAGGTCAAGCTGCTGTACAATTATGAGAGATCTTCCAGTCAGGGTTAAGAGGATGGGCTTTAGGAACACATGGGTTCCACAGACCAGCTGTGCGCCCTCACCGAGTTACTTAATCTCTCTGCACCTTACTCATCAGGTCTGTAAAGTGGAGACCGTATTCTCATTGGAAACGGCCAAGGGTCAATGAAGTGGCTCTGGCATGGCAGGAATGGCGAGCATAGTCGTGGCAGTTGTAGAAGGACAATCCCCTTCCTTCTTTAGATCACCATCTCCCTCTCTTGAAGCTCAGCTTGAAGTAGGTGTCCTCCTGCTTGCTACAGTGAATGGACTCTTCTCAGTTAACCTATCTGACTTCTCTTCAGGTTTCCATGCATCTAATAACTCCCTTCTTAAGAATTTTCTGCTGCTATGGCTTCTGTGACTTCTCTGATTCTTCACCCACCTCCATTGATTCTAATCTCCCTCCTCAGCTTTTTCCCTCTCCGTCTCTTAGACTGTGGTCTTAGACAGGGCCCTGTCCTTAGCCTTCCTCTCTGCAGTCTGCCTGGTCTTCCTTATTCACCTGATTGTCACCTTTGGGCTGATGACTGTTAATTCACGTCTCCAGTCCAAACTCCCTGTGTATCATATGTCAAAATGGCTTATGGGACATGTATACCTGCCTGGCGAAATCAATGCGTCTGAAAGGAGAACCATCTTTCCCTCAAGAGCACACGTCTCCTCCTGTGTTTTGGTTGGATGTCTACTACCCAGTCAGTCCCGTATGAAACTTGAGAGACATCTTACATTGGACCGTTTTCTCATCTTCCAGAGTACATTGACTTCCAGGTATGGCCACTTCCACCTTCTCACTGTATAGTTAATCAGTTCCTCCTCTCCATGTCCCTGTCACCACCTCATCCCATTTTGTCTAGAGATTGCTTCCTAACTTGTCTCAGTGCCCTCAACGTGGCCTCGATTCACCCACCACTGCCAGAACACCTTTCTGGTGAGCGACTCAGAGCATCACTGGCCCTTCACAGCAGACAGCTCACAAGCCGTGAAGCCTCTTGCTGACCTTCTCCACGCTGCAACCCTTGCGGTCCTTCCTCGGCCCCATCCCTGCGATCTCCCTGCAACTCCTCTACCTATTAACTTGTAGCACCATGCCCCATGCTGTTGCACACGCCTTTCCTTCTGCCTGGAAATGATGGCGGAGTTAAGTGAATGGATATTAGGTTCTTCGGTGGCATCCTGTAAGGAGCTCGCCTCGTTGTTTTAGGCTACTTAGGGGGTATTTCTTCCACAATACAGAGGTTTCCTCAGTCCAGGGATCCTGTCCTGTTCATCTTTGGTCCCCACAACCTACTCTGGTCTCTAGACATTGTGGGTGCCCACGACGCGGAGCAAACGGACAGAAATAATTTCTTTATTCAGAATGGGCTCCCTGGCTCAGCAGCTCACTTTTTTGGAGACCTGCCCCCTCAGGGCTTCAGTGCTCCTCCGCCTCCCGTCCTGGCCGGGCGGGTGAAGGGCGGCGGGTGGCCCGCTGCCTCCGGGCCCGGGCTGGGCGGCCGCCCGCGCGCCTGCGCCCTCTGCTGCTCCGCTCCGGGCGCGTCTCTGTGCGCCTGTGTCTGGAGAGGGAGGCTTGGGTGACAGGCGAGGGGTGGGGGGTAAGAGTTCAGCCCGACTCACAGTCTCATTCACTGATTTCTCCGCGGCTGGACCGAAGCTGCCTCCCCAGGCGTCTCCCCACTACTCCCGCGCCTCCACAGCTCCCACTTCCCGCCGCTCCGCTCTCAGCCAGACATTCTGACCGACACTCACCAGTGAGTAGCGGCGGCTGGTGCGCCCGGGCAGCGCGGCGAGCCGTCCTCCCGCGGGCTGTGTGTGCGTGTGTGTGTGTGTGTACGCGCAGGGGTGTCCCAGGGATTCCACGCCGGCCCCGAGAGCTCCCGGCTGGGGAGCGTGCGTCCCTCCGCGCGGGCGCTGCGGGGTGGGTGCCCGCGCGGGCAGGGGCTCGGCCGCCGCCGAGCGCCGAGGGAGTTTGCCGGGATTCCCCGGGCCGGCGCGCGGCCGCCGGTGGGGTTCCCCGGGACGGCGCCCGGGCGAGGAGGCGGCGGGGAAGCCCGGGCTGCGAGCGGCCGGGAGGCCGGGAATCTGGGAGCCCGTCCGGCCCGGCGGAGCCGAGGGAGCCGCCGGAGCGGCCGCCCCTGGCCGCCCAGCCTCCCCGCCTTTCTCCCTTACCCGTCCTCCTTTCTTCTCTCAGCAGCATCACACAAACCCGAAATGAAACCCAACGCGGCGAAGTCCGGCTCTCCTCTCCCACCTGGTGCACATCACCCCGGGCGGGAGCACTGAAGTGGGAGTCCCCGAGATGGGGGGCGGGGGCTTACCCCGGGGACACACCTGTTTTCGGCTCTCGCTGAATTCAAGCCGGATGCGGGAGCGCGCGAGGGGCTCCGATATCCACGCCTGTGTGTGTGTGTGTGTGTGTGTGTGTGTGTGCGTGAGGGGTCTCTCTGCGTGTCTGTGTGTGTGGTGTGTGTGTGCGCGCGCGCTCGCGCACGCACCCCGGGTCCACGCGCGCAGGGTGCGCTCGATGTAAACAGCATACCTCTCCCGCGGCCTCCTGGCGCCAAGACTGCTCGGTGGGCTCCCAGCGAGCTCTGTGACAGCGAGCGTGCCGGCATCTCTTTGTTTGGCTGTTGCTTCCCCACCCCTCCGCAAAGCAAACTGATTTTCGGTTTCGCGTGACACTGCGCGCTGGGACTTAGTGTGGGCCGCAGCCTCAAATGCCCCTGGTATTTGAAATTGAATAGTTCTTTCGGTCTGGGGGGTTATTTTTAGTGTCGGGAGTAAAGAGGCTAGCGCGTTGACCTTTTTGCGGCTGCTTTGGGCTTTGCATACGTGCCCCTGATGGAGCAGACGGATTCGCATCCAGTCGCGCACACGTGCCTGCGCACAAGTGTGTACACACATTTCTACACACGCAGCTTTCCCCTTTTTTTAAAAAAAAAATCGGTACTGGGAATGTACTGTTTGTAAGGAAACACACACACACACACACACACACACACACCCCAAAAAAACTTTCCTTTGTTCTTTTGGGCATTTTCTATTTTGAGTAATGGAGTAGGAGTACCAAAAGGTTGCAATTAGTTCAGCCGAATAAAAGACACTGCCTCTGAGTCACGGCTGCCAGGTTGATAATTATTAACATATAAAAGCAGATGCTCTGTTTAAGGCAAAAGGGGCGGGGCGGGGGCAGGTCCATGGTAGACAATGAGGGAGGGTCTCTGCCGACCGCCTGCTGCTTATTGTTCGGGCACTAGAGGCTGCAGCCTGCAGCCGCTTCCTCCTCCAGGGCTTCGCTCCCCGCTCGTGCCTCGGTCCCATTTGGGACCGTCCGCGTCACCCAGCGCTGGCCCCCGGGGCGGCGGGACGCCAGCCCCAGCCGCAGCCGCCCTTCGCTGACCGCCCTCTCTCTGCTTTGCAGGTTGGCATCTTTGCGCCCGAGGGTGTCGCAAGCGGAGGCGGCGAGGACAGGGCGCCTCCGGCCCAGCCAGCCGGGCGGTATGCGGCGCGGGCAACAGCGCTAAGCGCCCCCACGCTGGGCACGGGGCGTACTCGCTCCAGGCGGCGGGCCGAGCGGCGGCGGCGGAGGGGATGCGCCCGGGACGTGCAAGGCTCCTACCGCGAGCTACCGCCCCGAGGTGGACCCCCAGCAGGGCTCAACGCAGGACCGCGCGGACCCCTGCCCCCCGGGGCACGCGGCTGCGGAGCCTCGGGGCCTCATCTGCGGTCAGGATGCCCTGGGTGCCTCCCTGCTGGTGAGGATGCCCTGCTGCGCGGCTCTGCACCCCCGGCCCCGGTCCCTGGTAGGCACGACTGAGAGGGCCAGACTTCGGCCCCTGGTGCCGGTGGATGAAAAGCGCTGGAGTCCCTGAGTGCGACCAGCGATCGAATCTGAATTCTAAGAGCCATGGACGAAGGCACTGGGCAGCAGCCCCAGGCGGGAGAGCAGCTGGAAGCGCAAGCCACAGTAGGAGCTGTCCAAGAGAAGTGCGAACCAGAGACCTTTAGGTCCAAGAGTTTACCCGTCCTGAACAGCGTCTCCTGCCGGCCAGACCTCAGTCCTGCGAGTACAGGCGCAAAGGCAGCTTTTGGCTGTACAGATTCTTTGGGCCGTCAGGAGTCGAAACAGGGCCCAAGCGGGTTGGCCCCCAGTCCCTCTGCTCCGTCCACTTCGGCAGAGATGGCAGGGCTCATGGAATGTAACCACAGGGTGGAAGTCAGCAAAGCCGTGTCGGTGTCCTCCACGCTGGCCACGCTCCAGGGGAGAAGGTGCCTCTATGTGGTCCTCACCGATTCCCGTTGCTTCCTGGTTTGCATGTGTTTCCTGACCTTCATCCAGGCGTTGATGGTCTCCGGCTACTTGAGCAGTGTCATCACCACCATCGAAAGGCGCTACAGTCTGAAGAGTTCTGAGTCGGGGCTACTGGTCAGCTGCTTTGACATTGGGAGCCTGGTGGTGGTGGTGTTCGTCAGCTACTTTGGCGGCCGGGGTCGGAGGCCCCTGTGGCTGGCCGTCGGTGGACTTTTCATTGCCATCGGGGCTGTCCTCTTTGCTTTACCTCACTTCATCTCGCCTCCCTACCAGATCCAAGAGTTGAATGCCTCGGCCTCCAACGACGGCCTGTGTCAGAATGGCAACTCCACGGCCACCTCGGAGCCTCCCGCCTGCCTGAAGGACTCAGGAGGAAATAATCACTGGGTCTATGTGGCTTTATTCATTTGCGCACAGATTCTCATCGGAATGGGTTCCACACCTATTTATACCTTGGGACCAACCTACTTGGACGACAATGTCAAGAAAGAAAACGCATCCTTGTACCTAGGTAAGACTTTCCTGTCCTCTCAGATAAACTTGAACTCAACAATCAAAAGGAAACACTTTTTCACATTTCCCAGGAGATTTTATACACACACACACACACACACACACACACACACACACATACACATGACACAAAATATATATATGTATAGAATCTCATCATATATACCTCACTATACATATAAATATATATATATATATACTGTATCTATAATGTCATTGTATATATTACGTGTATATTTTCAGCATTAAGCTTCAGTGTATTTTATATTTTTGTGTGTTAGCCTTACGGTGATGTGTTTTAGTTTGGAAGAGAATCAAATAGAGAAGTCCTTGAGCTAATCGTCAGACTCACACTTCACACTCTTTCCCCAAGTAATGCAAACTTTTAACTTTGGGGTTGTGCTTCTTTCTCTTGCTGTCTGCCTTTGGAAAAGCCCGAATTGATCAAGTTTATTTGCTAATGGCTGTTCTTCTAGAAAGGTCAGGAACGAATAGAAGTACCTGGTGTGGAGTGAAGCTTTGGATTATTTACTGCTTTCATCCCCTGCTGCTTTTCATTCTTGTCCTCCACAGCAGGGCTAATGGAGCACCCAGACTACATACAAGATGCTTTACTGCCTCCGTACCTGTATTCCTTACGTATATCACCTGCATCACTATCTAAAAACAAAACTCGAGTGATACCAAATGACTAAATTATCTCTATGCGGAAGCAAGATCGCACGTTGCTATTTTTGTTGCTGGTTCAAGACCCTTAAGTACATGAACTTGGGAACAGATGGCTCTTGGATTTGGTGATTTGACCTGCAAGAATCAGCTCCTGTGACAGGGATGCTGGGGTTAAATAGAGGGTGCTCATATGAGGCCAGGCAGCCACTGCAGCAGGTAGGAGAATGTAGTTCCTAGAAATCTGTGTGGTTGTCAGCACCTCCCTCTACCAGCTGCCCCTTCAAAATTGAACTTTTAAGGGATGGATTTAAACCCTTGAAAAGGATGAATAGCAGTCATGCTACATGGGATCTCTGTTTTTCTATGTTTCTATACTGGGGTCCAACTAAAAGAAGATAAAGAATTGTACTTTATTTAAAAAAAAAAAACAACAGTAGATAAGCAAATACCAGCTACATTTACCATTTTATTAGCCATGTGTTGATAGGATCTTTGGTGTGGGAATAACAAGGTTTCAAAGGACGGTGAGAATGATACCCCATTAAGAGGGCTATGATCTTTTCTCAACACAATTGCTATCCCCAGAATATGTTGTAGAGGGTGTCTGAGCAATGTGTGGTCCCCAATAACTGGTTCAAATGCATTAGGACAAGAGTTTTATAATTTATTTGTATTATCAAATGCAAAGGAAGGAAATTTTCATTCAGAGAAGAGAGGACTAGCTTGCTTGTTACTTTGTCTCCTTATCTTCTAACATTTATTATGACAAATTTTCAAACATATAGAACAGGTGAAACAGTACAGTGGGCCCCAATATTTCCACCACCTAGACTCAATAATTGTTCATTGTGTCAGATTTGCTTTATCAACCTGCGTGTGTAAGTATTATGTAATATATTTTCTGGATGGGGGTGGGGA